ATTTTGAGTTCTTTCTTTTAAATTTTTTAATGAATTTGAAATAATAAATATTTGAGGTTAGCTAAAGTAGAGAGCATTGCTGAAGGAACCACCTTTTAAGTGGTTAGCTATTTTAACTAGAATTTGAGTAAAATTTGGAGACTCTCCTGGAGATGCTCTGACAGAGTATCCAAATGGCAAACCTGGCAACTGTATGCTCTCATACTGTGAATGATGTTTCCAAGGCACATTCAAAATTGCTAGAAGCAAAATTATAAAAATATTTTAACAGTATAGCCGCAGGGTTGTCAAGTGCAATAAGAAAAAGGCTATAATTAGGTTTAGTTCATAATTACGATGGATACAATTTAGTAAGTAAATTACTATACTGGCAATTTTTAAACTATGAAATTCAACATTCTTTGATCCACAAAATGTTGGCAGATCCCTTTTTTTTTCTTTTTTTTTGTATTTATGGGTTTAACCTGTATTATTTGTTATAAATAAAATTCATTTTTTATTCTTGCCCAATAGGCTAATAGCTTAAAATCATTAGAATGTGAGGTATCATAAAAAATGTAAATTCTCATTCCCTAATATCACTTGTATAAATGAAGTAATTGAATGAATAACTCAAGCCCAATGGGCTAAAGTGGTACTTTGCCCTAAACCCTAGAATCATATGACAAAATTGTATATTTAAAGAGTATCGGCTATACTCTTTTAATATATTTGAACATTTCAAAGGTATTGATGCGCGGCTATACACTTCAAAATTTTAAAAATTAAAAACGTATAGCCGAGCGGCTATACTCTTTAAAAATATTCACGTTTTAGGGACAGAGAAACGAACACGAAGCTTGCAGTCGGAGTCACAGCCGTTTCCAAGCTTCAAAGATTCGGTCTTGAGCCTCTCTCTCAACTCAAGCTTTGATTATTATTTTTTTCTTCCGTTTCGACTGTTGGGTTAATTTGGGCTCTTTCAATGTATGTAAAGATAGAGACTTTGTACTCCAAGCTCGGCATCAAAAAGAGAACCAAATTGCCTAGCAACCTAGAGCCCGCCTAGCAGCCTAGCGCCCGCCTTGGCCAATTTTTTGATCACTTCAATTGGCTGAATGTCTGAAACCCCAAATTGAAAAATAAAATATTGACATGTAAAAACTGTCCACTGTTGCAAGTTCACACCAGCTAGAAAACCAACAATTCAATGACCAAAAAATGATCATGGAGTTGTACAGAAAATTCAAAGTTCCAAAATAAGTTGGATTAAATCACTTCTAATATAATCTCCACTTTAATCTAACAAATGAGTGAAACAAACAAATGAAATTCACATTTTCAAACTAAGAAAGTATAGAACGAACTCTGATAAATCCTTGAACTGATGTGAAACCGAGACCTTGCATCTCATAGAACTTGAATATGGCAACTCTCTGACTATTTAAGCAATAGATTGATTGGTTTGGTTCTTCTTGCTTGAAGCTTGATAAATCTTGATGCATTCAATATTCATCCATTGATGGTTCTTCTTGGTTGGGCTGCTTTTCATTCTTTGGATATTGCATTTCTGTTATAGATTTTGACATTTGATCATACCCTCAAGTATACCCAGTTTAATTTTCCTTGTAAATGTAGCATTTTTGTTGTTGTGGAATGTGTGCAGGTGTCCTGGCCTTGTGACTTCGAGTTTACCAGTAAATTTATTGGACAGCAAACACACGAACCTAGAGCTGATTGGCAAGTGGAAAATTTGGAGGTGTTATCATTTGGTTCATACTTAAATTTGGCCATAATACTTGAAATTATACAAAAACATTGCAAGAATTTTTATGGTTTAGATTTGTCCAAAGGCTCTGTTCATGGGCGTGAGGCATATTGTCAATTGTGAAGTTGGTGCCTAATATAAAGTACTTAAAGTTGAAGGGTGCAAAAGTTAATCAGGATGGTCTTGTCACGTTGCTACACGAATGCAAAGGTTTGGTGATGTTGGACGTCAGAGATTCTTCTGGTTTCGATGAGAACAACGATGAAATATCAAAGCTTGCGTCTCATATTAGCAAATTTATGTGCGAGAGGGTTCTGAATTTCTTGAATTTCTTCAAATGCTCAATGATTTGTGCGATGCGTTCAATGATTTGGGTGACGAGGAATGAAGAACTATTTGATTGTACTAAGCGATATCTCAGCTTTTTTTATATTTACAACATTGAAGAGCAATTATGTGTGTTGAGTGTGGAGTGGTGTGGTGTTCATCTTGTGTTTTTGGACACTGTACTCTAATGAGGGCTTGTTATAAGTTCCTATCTTGATTTCATTATAAAATGTGTGCTTAATTTGGAAAATGGACATTCTAAATTCCTTTGCTGCATTTTGTGTAATATCACATGTGCTCGCGATTGTTCTTCAACCTTGCCTCTGCCTCTGTTTCTATCTTAACTTTCCCAAACCACCAAAGGTATTCCTAGCTAAATTTCTTTGAGGTTCAAGAGAAGTTTCTTGGTGAAAGAATGTTGGTTGCACTAGCTTAACAACAAGCACAACCAATAGACAAATGAAGTAATATGTTATATTTAAGAATGAGATGCTACTTCTCATCTAACACATGTTGTTTGAATTCTCATTTTGAATAGTTCATATATCAATGTCATATGACCTCTGATACCTTCAATTAATTTCAAAATAGAGCTGCAAACTTCCCTTCGCTGTCTCGTTAGATTGTTTTATATCCAATTTTTCAACTGACATATCTCATAGCAGAAGAGCATGGTCGTCAAGTGCAATGAGAAAAAAATGTTGCAATTGGGTTTAGTTCATAATTACAACGGATACATTTTAGAAAGTAAATTGATATACAAGCAATTTTATACTATGAAATTCAAAATTCTTTGATCCACAAAATGTTGGCGGATACCTTTTATTATTATTATTATTATTATTATTATTCTTGGTATTTATGAGTTTAACTTGTATTATTTGTTAGAAATAAAATTCATTTTTTATTCTTGCCCAAAGGGCTAATAGCTGGAAATAATTATAATGGGAGGTATCATAAAGAATTTAAATTCTCAATCTCCAATT